CTTCTCCTGATGAGACCCCTGGGCTTGAAGGATGAATGAAGAAGGATGAAAGGAAGAAGGATGTTTTAAATGATCTGTGAAGAGGCTTATGACCTGAAGAATGAGAAGAATGCTCCTTGTGGAGAAGAAGAATGCATTAGAGGATGAGTAGAAGGCTAAGGATGAGAAGAAGGAGAAGGATGAGAAGAAGGGAGAAGAGAGATTGGAAGATAAGGCCTCTGAGAAGAAGGAGAAGATGAGACTGAGAAGAATCAGTAGAAAGGATCTTCCGAAGGTATGAAGATAAGAATGTGAAGGATGAAGAAGAAGAAGGATGAAGGAGAAGTTCTGAAGACCAAGAAGAATTGACAAGTTCAGGGGACAATGAAGTGTGACAATCTGCAGAGATTGGGAAACTGTGAGATCTGCGCCGCGAATTTTGCAGATACTGACCGGCAGAATGAGGAGCTGGGCTGCTCAGAGATAGACTTTTCTGACAGTTCTCTGACATTCCTTCCATTTACAGCGGTTGAATGAACATTGTATCTATTTGTTTAGAATAAATGGATCCATTTATGGAAACAAATAGATACAATGTTTTTCAACCGCTGTATGGAGGTGAATGTCACAGAGAACTGTCAGAAATAGCCTATTTCATCCTCAGAAGTTCTGACATTCACTGCCATACAGAAATTTGACATTCACTCCATACAGCGGTTGAAACATTGTATCTATTTGAGAGGAGAAGGATCAGAAGATGGAAAGTAGGATGAAAAGGAGATTACAATGTTTCAAACCGCTGTTATGAAAGAGTGAATGTCACTTGAACTGTCAGAAATAGCGGAGCTTCTGCAGATACACTTAGAAGGAGGAGCTCTGCAGATACACTTTTTGGCGGCTTGGAATTTTCTTATTTTCATCCTACTTCTTCTTCTTCCTCATCATCCTCATCCTCTTCTTCTTCTTCTGAGGAAGAGGATGAGATGAAGAAGGAAGAAGAAGGATGAAAATAAAGAGAATAATTCCAAGCCGGCAAAAAGTATGAAGTGTATCTGCAGAGCTCCTCTAAGTGTATCTGCAGAATAGAGGAGCTCTGCAGATACACTTTTTGCCGGCTTGGAATTCATTCTTATTTTCATCCTACTTCTTCTTCTTCTTTCTTCTTCATCTCATCCTCATCCTCTCAGAAGAAGAAGAAGAGGATGAGGATGAAGATGAAGAAGAAGAAGAAGAAGTAGGATGAAAATAAGAAGAATTCCAAGCCGGCAATAAAAGTGTATCTGCAAGGATGAAAATAAGAAGAATTCCAAGCCGGCAAAAAGTGTATCTGCAGAGCTCCTCTATTTGCAGATACACTTAGAGGAGCTCTGCAGATACACTTTTTGCCGGCTTGGAATTATACTTATTTTCATCCTACTTCTTCTGTATCCTAAATGGAAACAAATAGATACAATGTTTCAACCGCTGCTGTACATGTGAAGGAACTGTCAGAGAACTGTCAGAAATAGCGGAGCTCTCTGCAGGGACACTTTTGCCGGCTGACGGGAAAAATCCGATTCGCGCACCCGAAGTAGGCAAATATTCGGATTCGACGCGAATCGAATTTTTCCTGAAATTCGTATCGAATTCCACTTCGCCTGGTTCGATTCGCTCATCTCTAGTTTTGAACAGATACATTTTTTTCACTTTTTTCTGATTAATTGATTTTCAATGCATTTACAAATTTATTTTTTATCATGTCCCTGTACAGTATTTATGCCTTTAAAGTGAACTTTATAAAGAGTTTTGAAGGCATAAATACTGTACAAGGACATGATAAAAAATAAATTCGTAAATGCATTGAAAACCAATTAATCCGTTCTGGAGGTCTGAAAAAATTAAAACAAAAACATTATCTGTTCAAAACTCTTAATAAAGTGCACTTTAAATGCATAATACTGTACAGGGACATGATAAAAAATAAATTCGTAAATGCATTGAAAACCAATTAATCCGTTCCAGAGGTCAGAAAAAAGTGAAAAAAATGTATCTGTTTAAAGTTAACTTTATAAAGAGTTTTGAGCAGATACATTTTTTTTTTTTTTTTACTTTTTTCTGACCTCCAGAATGGATTAATTGGTTTTCAATGCATTTACGAATAAATTTTTTTATTATGTCCTTGTACAGTATTTATGCCTTTAAAGTGAACTTTATAAAGAGTTTTGAAGGCATAAATACTGTACAGGGACATGATAAAAAATAAATTCGTAAATGCATTGAAAACCAATTAAACCGTTCTGGAGGTCAGAAAAAAGTAAAAAAAAAAAATGTATCTGTTCAAAACTCTTTATAAAGTTTAAAGGCATAAATACTGTACAGGGACATGATAAAAAATACATTTGTAAATGCATTGAAAACCAATTAATCAGAAAAAAGTGAAAAAAAATGTATCTGTTCAAAACTCTTTATAAAGTGCACTTTAGAGGCATAAATACTGTACAGGGACATGATTAAAAAATAAATTTGTAAATGCATTGGAAACCAATTAATCTGTTCGTATTGCGAAAAAAATTCGTAAACCGAGGTGTTATTTTCAATGGATTTTCATTCGTAACCCGAAAACTACGTTAACCGAGGCGTTCGTAAACCGAGGTACGTCTGTAAACCTATACGACTCTGTGAATGAGCCCTGTGAAATAATTTCTGCTGTTGGCCCCCATTTTGATCTCTTATATATTCCATTGAAAGCATTTTGTTGTATCTGTTCTGTAGGTCCAAAAATGTACCTGTTGATCCAGAAATATCGGGAGCTGATACTGTACTCTTTTCAGTTACATTGTTTCCAGCTCTCTCTGGGAGTATAGACCACCCCCATGTTAGGAAGATGAAGAGAAGGGGAAGTGCTCTGTAGTCCTGATCTAGGGTGACACTCATCCCCCATATATATAACAGACAATGTGTGTTGTCAACCTGAGACAGGAATTGTGTTATTGGCAGAATCACTAGGTGAAAAAAAAAAAAAAAAAAACGAATGCAGCTACCACATCTGAGGACCTGTAGTCTGCAGCGTATTATATTTTTGTTCTTGGGTTTAAAACTTATTTTAAATTTACAAAAAGTTGTACTGAAACTGAATGCATTATAATATATTATTATTATTATACAGGATTTATGGCGCCAACAGTTGGCTCAGCGCTTTACAATATAACGGGAGACAATACAGCAACAATACAGTTCAATACAAGAGGGATAGGAGGGCCCTGATCCCGGGAGCTTACAATCTAAGAGGGAGGGGCTAGTGGTACAAAAGGTAATAACTGTGGGGGATGGACTGGTTGGAGAGTAGAAGATTCCATTATTAGATGAGGGCAGGATAGGCTTCCCTGAAGAGATCGGTTTTCAGAGATGCCTAAAAGTGAGCAGAGTAAGTGATAGTCTGATAAATTGGGGTAGGGAGTTCCAGAGGATGGGGGAAGCTCTGGAGAAGTCCTGGAGACGAGCATGGGAGGAGGAGACAAGGGAGCTCGAGAGTAGGAGGTCTTGCGAGGAGCGTGGGTGTATCAATAATTCAATGTTTCTTCCCATACAGGTTTAAGCCACTATAACAACGGCATAGAAGATCCCCCCCCCCTGCATACAATCAATGGATTTATAAATGATTCAATTCCAGGTAAAATAAATAAATACACCTGAACACGTTTATTACACAAGAATATACAGTATATATGTCTTCTAAAATCTAAATCCAAGGCAACAGGGAAATAATTATATGAAGAGCTGAGCTATCTGCCAATGGGTTTGAATTTCTGTCCATCCAGTCCTGAGGCTTAAACATCTCCGTCAGTTAGCACAGCCAGCCTAGAGATCTGACTTTTCCCTCCTACCATTATGTAACACAGCTAGGTCATCTCTCCACCTTCAGCCTGTGATTGGACCAGGAAAGAGCAGAAATAGACTTCTGAGGCCATCTTTCTGCCTACAGGCTGTGATTGGACCAGGAAAGAGCAGAAACAGACTTCTGAGGCCATCTTTCTGCCTACAGTCTGTGATTGGACAGGGAAAGAGCAGAGACAGACTTACGAGGTCATCTCCCTGCCTTCAGCCTGTGATTGGACAGAAAAAGAGCAGAGACAGACTTATGAGGTCATCTCCCCGCCTTCAGCCTGTGATTGGACAGAAAAAGAGCAGAGACAGATTTATGAGGTCATCTTGACACTTACAGCCTGTGATTGGGCAGAGAAGGAGCAGAGACAGACATATGACATCATCTCCCCACCTTCAGCCTGTGATTGGACAGCAAAAGAGCAGAGACAGATTTATGAGGTCATCTTGACACTTACAGCCTGTGATTGGAGCAGAGACAGGACATCATCTCCCCACCTTCAGCCTGTGATTGGACAGCAAAAGAGCAGAGACAGAAGAGGTCATCTTGACACTTAAAGCCTGTGATTGGTCAGAGAAAGACTTAAGAGGTCATCTCCCCGCCTTCAGTCTGTGATTGGACAGAGAAGGAGCAGAGACAGACTTATGAGGTCATCGCCCCGCCTTCAGACTGTGATTGGACAGAGAAGGAGCAGAGACAGACTTATGAGGTCATCTCCCCGCCTTCAGTCTGTGATTGGACAGAGAAGGAGCAGAGACAGACTTATGAGGTCATCTCCCCGCCTTCAGCCTGTGAGAAGGAAGGCAGAGACAGACTTATGAGGTCATCTCCCCGCCTTCAGCCTGTGATTGGACAGAGAAGGAGCAGAGACAGACTTATGAGGTCATCTCCCCGCCTTCAGCCTGTGATTGGACAGAAAAAGAGCAGAGACAGACTTATGGGGTCATCTCTCTGAGTGTTGCAGCACAGGGGGTTACAAGAGGGTAACATACTTTGTTGATTTTACTGTACTAACATTTTGATTTCTGTGCCCCTAGAGCAGGCCCTGTGTGTGAAGAGGCCGGCTTATTTTCACGTCATTGGATTTGGGACACACGTTGAGGTTCACCGATTTTCTCTGGAAGGGCACAGCTTTGTGATAGGAGAGCATCGGGTCCCCATACTTCCCGTCACAGCATTCAGCTTTTTTACAGCCTTGGTGAACCCAACGGAGAAAGGTGTATACAAACTTTCCTGCCAAACCCGGACACACCCAGAAGGTATACATTTTATATACTTGTACTTATATATTGTGATAGATAGCCCCTTGAAGCTTCACCTCTGGCAGGACGTGGACACCTCTGTCAGAACTGCTCATTGAAAGATGAGACAGGATGGATGGGATGGACGGGGGAGACGGACAGGGGGGATAGATAGACAGACGGGGAGACAGAGACGAGGAGACAGACAGACAGATGAGACAGGACGGGGAAACAGACAGACACGGGACAGACGACAAACAGACAGACAGACAGACAGACAGACAGATGGGGAGACAGACAGACAGATGGGGAGACAGACAGACAGACGGGGTGACAGACAGACAGACGGGGGAGACAGACAGACAGACGGGGAAACAGACAGACAGACGGGGAACAGACAGACAGACAGACAGACAGACGGGGAGACAGACAGACAGACAGATGGGGAGACGGACAGACAGACGAGGAGACAGACAGAGACAGACAGACGGTGAGACAGACAGACGGGGAAACAGAACAGACAGACAGACAGACAGACGGGGAGACAGACAGACGGGGGAGACAGACAGACAGACAGACAGACGGGGAGACAGACAGACAGACGGGGGGGAGACAGACAGACAGACGGGGAGACAGACAGACGACAGACAGACGGGGAGACAGACAGACAGACGGGGAGACAGACAGGAGACAGACAGATGGGGAGACAGACAGACAGAGAGACAGACGGGGAGACAGACAGACTGGGAGACAGACAGACAGACAGACAGGGGGAGACAGACAGACAGACAGAGATGGAGGACAGACGGGGAGACAGACAGACAGACAGACGGGAGACAGACAGACAGACGGTGAGACAGACAGACACGGATGTGAGACAGACAGACAGACAGACAGACAGACAGACGGACGGGGAGACAGACAGACGGGGACAGACAGACAGACAGACAGACAGACGGGGGAAACAGACAGACGGAGAGACAGACAGACGGGGAGACAGACAGACAGACAGACAGACAGACGGGACAGACAGACAGACAGATGGGGAGACAGACAGACGGGAGACAGACAGACTGTGAGACAGACAGACGGGAGACAGACAGACGGGGAGACAGACGGGGGACAGACGGTGAGACAGACAGACGGGGAGACAGACAGACGGGGAGACAGACAGACAGACAGACAGATGGGGGACAGACAGACAGACAGACGGGGAGACAGACAGACGGGGAGGAGACAGACAGACAGACGGGGAGACAGACAGACGGGGAGACAGACAGACGGGGACAGACAGACAGACAGGGGAGACAGACAGACAGACGGGGAGACAGACAGACAGACGGGGAGACAGACAGACAGGGAGACAGACAGACGGGGGAGACAGACAGAGGACGGGGGAGACAGACAGACAGACAGACAGACGGGGAGACAGACAGACGGGGGAGACAGACAGACGGGGAGACAGACAGACAGACGGGGAGACAGACAGACGGACGGGGAGACAGACAGACGGATGGGGACAGACAGACGGGGAGAGACAGACAGACAGACGGGGGAGACAGACAGAGACGGGGAGACAGACAGACAGACAGACAGACGGGGGAGACAGACAGACAGACGACAGGAGAGACAGACATACGGACGGGGAGACAGACAGACAGACAGACAGACGGACGGGGAGACAGACAGACGGACGGGGAGGGACAGACAGACAGACGGGGAGACAGACAGACAGACGGGGAGACAGACAGACGGACGGGGGGACAGACAGACAGACGGGGAGACAGACAGACAGACAGACAGACGGGGAGACAGACAGACAGAGGAACGGGGAGACAGATGATAGGGAGACAGACAGACGGGGAGACAGACAGACAGACAGACGGACGGGGAGACAGACAGATACGGGGAGATGATAGAGATGGATAGGGATGGATTGGAAGCGGAAATTATTTTCGAGATCCTGGAAACAATATGAATCCCGATTTTGTGAGAGAACACTCCTACTCTGATGGAACAACTTCTCATGAGATTTCACAGTGTGTTGGTGGATCTCTGATAGGTGAAATATTGTCTTGGTATTCAGTTCTTACAGGCAGCTCTCTGTCAGGCGGGTGATCTCTGGGGTCCCTGGAGTCTAATGTGTATAAGATGATCTCGTCTCTAGCATCGTGTACTATTATAATCATTATCGGTGATTGTCCTCATCAGGCAGGATGACCTCTGTGGTCAGGGTAGAAGAATGCATAAGGGAGCCAGAAACCAGATCCCATGTACCTGATGATGAGGATGACTATGAGGATGAGGATGACTATTATGAATCTACAGTGTTGGATATGGCGGATGATCCTGGACAGGTGGACCCGCGATCTCATAGTAAACGCAATCCTGTGACCTGGACACACTATATTGCGGCAATAGAGATGGACTGGGACTATCAACCAACAAAAAATGACAAAAGGTAAGAAAAAGATGAAATTACCCTCCGAGGGGGCGGAGACAAGGGTCTAATGCCCCGCCTAGGGAAGGTCGGGGGGGGGGGCCCTTACCTGCTGCCTGCTCAGACCTCATCATGGTAGGGATGCATTTCTTGCAAAATATGTTTTGGTTCCACAATGAAAGATTGGTGTTCTTCAAGGACATGTTCATTAAGATACAGATTTCTCGGAATTTGGTTGCATGAGCCATGGTGGTCTTTATATTGACCTGCTGCCCGCTCAGACCCTCAATCACAGCTCCTCACAGGGGGGTCTTCCAGCACTGCAAAGGAAGTCATCCTGGAAGACCTCCCTCTGCGAAGAGCTGTGATTGAGGGTCTGAGCGGGCAGCAGGTCAATATATAAAGGCCACAATGGATCACTGACTGCAAGTCCTGCTGTGATTGAGGTCCGAATGGTAAAATATCATCTAAAAATGGCGCTATAAAAATAGACCAACAATTTTGAGAAAAAAAAATATATTTTTGACTTTTTGCTAATAAACATGTCCAGTAAAAAATATTTGAAAAAATCTAATTTCTTCATAAATTTAGGCCAAAATTTATTCTGCTCCATGTCTTTGCTAAAAAAAAAATCCCAATTTGTGTAAATTAATTGGTTTACGTGAAAGATATAGCGTCTACAAATGGCACTATAAAAAAAGACCAACAATTTTGAAAAAAAAAAAAAAAATATTTTTGACTTTTTGCTAAAAACATGTCCAGTAAAAATTAAAAAAAAAATCAAATTTCTTCATAAATTTAGGCCAGCATGTATTCTGCTCAATGTCTTTGCTAAGAACAATAAAAAAAAAAAAAAAATCCCAGTTCGTGACAATTTTGAGAAAAAAAAAACTATTTTTGACTTTTGGCTCTTAAACATGTCCAGTAAAAATGCTGCATCCGAATGAAAATTGCAGTTTTTTTATTTTTTGCGCTATAAAAAAAGGCCGACAATTTTGAGAAAAAAACTGTATTTTTGACTTTTTGCTAATAAACATGTCCAGTAAAAAATATTTTAAAAAATCTAATTTCCTCATAAATTTAGGCCAAAATGTATTCTGCAACATGTCTTTGCTAAAAAAAAAAAAAAAATCCCAATACGTGTAAATGAATTGGTTTATGTGAAAGATATAGAGTCTACAAATGGCGCTATAAAAAAGACCAACAATTTTGAGAAAAAAAACACTATTTTTGAATTTTTGCTATTAAATATGTCCAGTAAAAAATTACAAAAAAAATCAAATTTCTTCATAAATTTAGGCCAAAATGTATTCTGCTCCATGTCTTTGCTAAAAAAAAAATCCCAATTTGTGTAAATTAATTGGTTTACGTGAAAGATATAACATCTACAAATGGTGCTATAAAGAAAAAAAAAAAATGACAGTTTTGAGAAAAAAAAACACTATTTTTGACTTTTGGCTATTAAACATGTCCAGCAAAAATGCTGCATCTGAATGAAATTTTTTTTTTGCCCACGAATTGAGCTTTCTTTCGGTGGTATTTGATCGCCTGTGCAGTTTTTTTTTATTTTCTGCGCTATAAAAAAAGACCGACAATTTTGAGAAGTAAAAAAAACGCTATATTTGACTTTTTGCTATTAAACATGTCCAGTAAAAATTAAAAAAAATCTAATTTCTTCATAAATTTAGGCCAAAATGTATTCTACTCCATGTTTTTGCTATAAAAAAAAAATCCCAATACGTGTAAATTAATTGGTTTACGTGAAAGATATAGCGTCTATAAATGGCGCTATAAAAAAAGACAATTTTGAGAAAAAAAACACTATTTTTGACTTTTTGCTATTAAACATGGCCAGTAAAATTTTTTTTTAAAAAAATCTAATTTCTTCATAAATTTAGGCCAAAATGTATTTTGCTCCATGTCTTTGCTAAAAAAAAAATAATCCCAGTTCGTGACAATTTTGAGAAAAAAAAACACTATTTTTTACTTTTTGCTATGAAACATGTCCAGTAAAAATTTTTTTAAAAATCAAATTTCTTCATAAATTTAGGCCAAAATGTAATTTGCTCCATGTCTGCTAAAAAAAAAAAAAATAATCCCAGTCCGTGACAATTTTGAGAAAAAAAAAAACACTATTTTTTACTTTTTGCTATGAAACATGTCCAGTAAAAATGCTGCACCTGAATGAAATTTACGTCCTTTTCTTCCCCATGAATTGAGCTTTCTTTCAGTGATATTCGATCGCCTATGCAGTTTTTTGTATTTTTTGCGCTATAAAAAAAATGAAAATTGTGAGAAAAAAAACCTGTCCACTAAAAACTTTAAAAAAATCACATTTCTTCATAAATTTAGGCCAAAATGAATTCTGCGACATGTCTTTGCTAAAAAAAAAAAAAAAATCCCAATACGTGTAAATTAATTGGTTTCCGTAAAAGATATAGAGTCTACAAATGGCGCTATAAAAAAAAAAAGACAATTTTGAGAAAAAAAGACTATTTTTGGCTTTTTGCTATTAAACATGGCCAGTAAAAAAAAAAAAAAAAAAATCAAATGTCATCATAAATTTATTCTGTGACATACCTTTGCTAAAAAAATAAATAAATCCCAATACGTGTAAATTAATTGGTTTACATGAAAGATATAGTGTTTACAAATGGCGGTATAGATAATGGGATTTTTTTTTCATACTAGTAATGGCGGCGATCAGCGACTTATAGCGGGACTGTGGAGGACATTCTGACACTGATGGGGGAACTGACTTGGTGTCACTGACATCCCCAGTGACACCAATACAGTGATCATTGCTAATAAAAAGCACCGACACTGTACTGATGGCACTGGGCAGGAAGGGGTTAAACGGATGTGAGGTTATCGCTCAACGAGTTTCGCAGCATTGGAGCTTCATCATGACAGCAGATGACCTGAGTGGCTGTATAGGAGAGAGGCATGAAAATTTTTCAAAAAAAGCAAGATTTCCTGAGGGTGTAGAAGCACGGGACGTTTCAGGAAGAGCGGGAATGGCGCCCCAGCCCTGTTTGAAGAAGGATCTGGAATCTAAAAGCACCCTTGGGAGATCATACGCCGTTTGACCCACCTATGAAAGGGGTCCCTCTGGTGAGCGCGCACTTTTTTTGTGGGCACAAGTGGTGGAGAGTTTGGGAGATTGGTCTGATCCTACATCCGGTGAAGGACTCCCATCATTGTGTGGTGTTGGGTTATACCCTCTGGTGGACTTTTATTTTCCGTTAATAATTTTGTACAAATTTGCGTACATGAATTTTTTATGTACTATTAGGAATGTAGCAAGCGCCTAAAATCTTAGATTGTTCCCATATGGAGGATAAATATATTTATGATACGCGCAACATATATTTACAATATATTGGCCTACATGAATATATTTTAACATGCATTATAAAAATTAAAATATATATTTTCCAAAAGCATACATTTAAAAAATATATTTTTCAAAATATATTTTCCAGATATTTTTGAACATCTAAATGTATTTTTTTCTTCTTTTACATGCGACATATATTTACAATATATTGGCCTACATGAATATATTTTAACATGCATTATAAAAATGTAAATTAAAATATATAAAAAAAAATATGCATTACGGTCACTAGGTGGCACTAACGATGTAGGAACCACATATATCAGAGAAAATACAGCAATTTTTGTCCTGATTATGAGGATGTTTTTCTTTTTCTCATCCTTTATTTTAATACAGCTTGTTCTTTCAATTCTTTACTGATTTTTTTTTTTTTTTTTACTTCGGATGCAGGAACCGTTTTTTCACTAAAGTTCTGTACAGAGAATTTACCAACTCCAAATTCACTCACCAAAAACCTTCAAAATTCCTAGGGACGGGAATTCTAGGCCCTGTTCTTAGAGGGGAAAGTTGGAGACACAATTCAGGTAAAATAAAAAAAATTATAGCAATGTTTATAATATATAATAATATTTTATTTTTTCTTCTTCTTCTTCTTCTTCTTCTTATTCTACTTAATTATTATTATTATTATTATTATTAATAATATTATTATTATTTTTATTAATAATATTTATTAATTACTACTACTACTAAACTAATAATAATAAAATTATAGCAATAATAATTACTATTATATTATTTTTAATTATACAGTAAAAATTTAGTATTATTCATATATATATTATAAAATATGCATGATGTAATAATATAATTTTTTAACTTATTATTATTACTAATACTATTACTAATATAATATAATAATAAAATAATAATAGCAATAATAACTTCTTTTTTAAGTATATATTTAGTATTATTAATATATTTACTAATAATATGCATGTAATAAATAATAAATTTGTTGAAAATTTAATATTCTATCTTTATACTACTAATAATAATAAAATTAAATAATAGCAATAATAATAACTACTATTATTAATAATAGTAATAATTTCTTTTTTTTTTTAAAAAAATTAATATTAATTACTAATACTACTACTACTTACTAATAATAATAAAATAAAATTATAGCAATAATAATAACTACTATTATTATTTTTTTAATTATATTTTTAGTATTATTCATAATATATTATTAATAATATATTATAATAATATGCATGTAATAATAATAATAATAATATTTAAATTTAATATTATTACTAATACTACTACTACTAAATATTTAATAAAATTAATTAATAGCAATAATAATAACTACTTTTAATATATATTTTTTAATTATATATTTAGTATTATTCATAATATATTATTATTATATATAATATATTAAAATACTTTATAATGGACATTTATGTTTAAAACCTACTTTTATAATATTATTTATATCTATTTCTTTTTCTAATAATTATTCTTCACTATACAATAACAAAGAACACAAAATTAATTTAATACTTTTTAATATTTTTATATTTTAAGTAATATTTAATTATTGACAAAACAAAATTATTATATTATTATATTGATCATATATAATTTAATACTTTTTTAATAAATTCTTTAATAAAAAATTTATTTTAAATATTTAGTCTAATATTTATTATTCCATTCTTATCAGAAAATAATATTTAACTACTATTATTAAATAGAACACAGACTTTTTTTATAGAATCTTTCAATTTTTCATATTATAAATAATATTATTAATTCAGCTTTATTATTTTTATTAAAGAATTTTAAATTAATTTTTAGTTTAATTTAATTTGTTTTATATTTTTTTATAATATTTTAAATATTTACAAATCTTTTATTTTAATATTATTGGCAGATTTTATTCCATCAAATTATATATAAATTCTTATTATTTTTTTAATTAAATGCATATTTTAATTAGTTTCTTTGAGAATAAATTTTTATTAATGCATATTTTTTTATCATTCTTCTAATTACTATAAAAATTTACATATTTTATTTTTTATTTTTCTAAAAAATTTTTTTTTTATTTCCATATAAATTCTCTAATTACTATTAATTTTTCTAATCTCTTGGGATTTATTTTTCAAAGTTTTATGAATCTACATAATTATTTTTTTGTTTTAATAATGTTTTCTTCCTTATTAAATAATGGTCTAGTTTTTTTAACTGTGACAATACTTTCGACATTTTAAATAAGTTATATCTTTTTAATAATATTTTTTTTTATTTTTCAACTAAATTGTTCAGTTTTATTTTTTGTATGTTTTGGTATTGAAATATACTCATCCTTTAATTGTATTTGATAAAAAAATATATTACTGATCAAGAATATTACGTTACAGGGTATGATAGGATGTTTTATTACTGGATAAAAATTAAAATAAAATTTTATCTATAGACATTTAAACAAATATAAAAAAACTTTCATTTGAATATTAATTTAATTCTACTTATTAAATTTGGGTTATTTAGGTAGCTTTACTTATTTACAAATTTATATGCAAAGTTACGTGTACAGATATCCTTTTTTTCTAAATATATTATATGAAAAAGTATTATTTTCTACAATAAATTCCATTAGAAGATTTTTACAGCAAAAAATTTAATCTTTTTTATATTTTTTTTATTGTCAAATTTTTTTTTTTTTAGCGCAAAAAAATCAAAAACGCACAGACGATTAAATACCAATGAAATAAAGCTCTATTTGTGGGAAAAAAAAGGCTATAAATTATGGTAAAAAAAAAAAAATCCCAGTATATATACCGCCATTTGTAGACGCAATAATTTCACGTAAACCAATTAATTTATATGCATATCGGGGTTTTTTTTTTTTTTCAGCAAAGACGTGTCGCAGAATACATTTTGGCCTAAATATATGATGACATTTGACTTTTTACATTTTTTCTTTTTCTGGACATGTTTTTAGCAAAAAGTCAAAAAAATATTTTTTTTTCTCAAAATTATTGATCTTTTCATTTTCTATAGCGCAAAAAAAAAAAAACCGCACAGGCAATCAAATACCACCAAAAGAAATGCTCTATTTGTGGGAAAAAAAGGACATAAATTACTAGTAAAAAAAAGATCCCAGTATCTATACCGCCATTTGTAGATGCTATAACTTTCATGTAAACCAATTAAATTTATGTGTATCGGGATTTTTTTTTTATCAAAGACATGTCTCAGAATACATTTTTGGACTAAATTTATGATGAAATTAGATTTTTTTAATTTTTTTACTGGACATTTTTTAATAGCAAAAAAGTAAAAAATATTATTTTTTTTTTCTCAAAATTGTTGATCTTTTTTTTTTCTTTATAGTGCAAAAAATTAAAAACCGCACAGGCGATAAATACCACCAAAAGAAAGCTTTAATATTTGTGGGAAAAAAAGGATGTAAATTACTAGTAAAAAAAAAAAAAATGCTAGTATCTATACCGCCATTTGTAGACACTATAACTTTCACATAAATCAATTAATTTATTGTTTGTATCAGGATTTTTTTTTTTAGCAAAGACATGTCACAGAATACATTTTTGTCCTAAATTTATGACGAAATTAGATTTTTTAAAATTTTTTTACTGGACATGTTTCACAGCAAAAAGTCAAAAATATGTTTTTTTTGCTCAAAATTGTCAGTCTTTTTTTTTTAGAGCAAAAAATAAAAAACGCACAGGATTATTAAATACCATCAAAAGAAAGCTCTTTTTGTGGGAAAAAAGGACGTAAATTACTAGTAAAAAAAAAAAAAATCTCAGTATCTATACCGCCATTTGTAGAACGCAATAACTTTCAATTAAACGAATTAATTTACACGTATTGGGATTTTTTTTTTTTTTTTTTAGCAAAGACGTGTCACAGAATATATTTTGGCCTAAATTTATGACGAAAGTAGATTTTTTTTAAATTTTTTTTACTGGACGTGTTTTACAGCAAAAAGTAAAAATGTTGTTTTTTTTTTTTTGCTCAAAATTGTCAGTCTTTTTTTTTTTTTAGCGCAAAAAAATCAAAGTCGCACAGACGATTAAATACCAATGAAAGAAAGCTCTATTTGTGGGAAAAAAAGGCTATAAATTACTGGTAAAAAAAAAAAAAAATCCCAGTATATATACCGCCATTTGTAGATGCAATAATTTCACGTAAACCAATTAATTTATGCATATCGGGGTTTTTTTTTTTCAGCAAAGACGTGTCGCAGAATACATTTTGGCCTAAATATATGATGACATTTGACTTTTTAAATTTTTTCTTTTTGGACATGTTTTATAGCAAAAAGTCAAAAATATTGTTTTTTTTCTCAAAATTATTGATCTTTTCATTTTCTATAGCGCAAAAAAATAAAAAAACCGCACAGGCGATCAAATACCACCGAAAGAAAGCTCAATTTGTGTGGGGGAAAAAAATAAAGGGGACGTAAATTTCATTTGGGTGCAGCGTTGATTGATCGATTAGTAAAATTGGTAGATTAGTAAAATAAAAAAAAAAAATAATAATAAAATGTTATTGCCGTCTTGTGTTTGTTAGATTGTATTCAAGAATCTGGCTGGTCACCCATATAACTTGTATCCTCAAGGGCTGAGCAGTGTGAGCTCCACCCATCCCTCCTTTTCAGGTACGGTCACATGGTATATAGCAGATCATTGATTGGAGAATGGCATGTCTGTTATGGCGTCTGGGCAGCTCTGACTAAAGTTTGGTAATGCCCTTGTGATAGGTGTAGGCCATTTAAGTACCTTCCTGAAGCCTGGTTGCAATACTCCCTGGACGTTGCTAAAGGCCGTTGCTAAGTGAGGTCTAGTTTTTCACGCTCCCCTCCAACATCAGGGGAACGAGTTTTTTTTTCTCCAAATCAAACCCCCTCACGCGCTCTTTCTCTTCTCTGATGCAGTAACTCTGAGCTCAGCGTTTGAGAGCTCTCTCCTGAGATGGTGGAGGTGAGCGGTAAGGGCTAGGTCTCACTTAGCAACATCCTAGCAACGTCCTTGCTTCTGCTGCCCATGCTTGGCATAAAGTGGGCACAGCCCATGCGTGTCCAACAGGCCAGGACAAGGGGTGGGCAGGAGGGGGAAACTGCTGTGGGAACTGTGATATCATGTGGGGTGGGATTTGGGGGGCGGCAAGGGGTAGAAACTGTTCTATGAGGGATCATTTTGGGGGGGTGCTAGGGGTGGTGATTTGAGGGGATATATGCTGAGAGGAGAAATTTGGGGGGTGGCAAGGGATAACAATTGTTCTATGAGGGATCATTTTGGGGTGCTAGGAGTGGTGATTTGGGGAGATATGTTTTGTGAGGGGAAATTTGGGGGCAGGCGAGGGGTAACAATTGTTCTATGAGGAATCATTTTGGGGGGTGCTAGGGGTGGTGATTTGGGGGGATATGTGCTGGGAGGGGAAATTTTGGTGGTGGTAAGGGGTAACAATTGTTCTATGAGGGATCATTTTGGGGGGTGCTAGGGTTGTGATTTGGAGGGGATTTGTGTTGTGAGGGGAAATTTGGGGGTGGTAAGGGTAACAATTGTTCTATGAGGGATAATTTTGGGGGGTCATGTGGTGTTGATTTGGGGATATGTGCTGAGAGGGGAAATTTGGGGGTGGTAAGGGGTAGCAATTGTTCTATAAGGAATCATTTTGTGGGTGCTAGGAGTGGTTATTTGGGGGATATGTGTTGTGAGGGTAAATTTGGGGGGCGGCAAGGGGTAACAATTTTTCTTTGAGGGATCATTTTGGGGGGTCATACCCACATGGAAGAAAAATATATTTGAAATGCTACAATTTTGGCCATATTCTATCAATATATATATTTATACTGCATGTTGAAATGTGTTTTTATTACAAAATATATGACTTTTTTTTTTTTAAATAGATCTTTAAAAATACAAATCTACGTTTTTGGAATGTATTTACAAATATAAGTTAAAATGACTTTTTTATATTTTAAAAATATATATTTTTTAAATATATTCTTCAGATTTTTTTTAACATATAAAAACGTCATTTTAACTTACCGTATTTGCCGGCGTATAAGACGACCCCCTACTTTTCCTGCTAAAATGTAGTGTTTGGGCTATACTCGCCGTAAAAGACTACCCCTCTTCCAATGCACACCAGTGGGAGCAATAGTGCCCCAGCATCGGTGTCAGTGGGAGGAATAGTGCCCATTCATTGGTGTCAGTGGGAGGAATAGTGCCCCATCATTGGTATTAGTGGGAGGAATAGTGCCCATCATTAGTATCAGTGGGAGGAATAGTGCCCCATCATTGGTATCAGTGGGAGGAATAGTGCCCCATCATTGGTGTCAGTGGGAGGAATAGTGCCCCATCATTGGTATCAGTGGGAGGAATAGTGCCCCATCATTGGTGTCAGTGGGAGGAATAGCGCCCCATCAATGGTATCAGTGGGAGGAATAGTGCCCCATCATTGGTGTCAGTGGGAGGAATAGTGCCCCATCATTGGTATCAGTGGCAGGAATAGTGCCCCATCATTAGTATCAGTGGGGGGAATAGGTGCCCCATCATTGGTATCAGTGGCAGGAATAGTGCCCAATCATTGGTGTCAGTGGGAGGAATAGTGCCACATCATTGGTATTAGTGGCAGGAATATTGCCCCATCATTAGTATCAGTGGGGGGATTAGGTGCCCCATCATTGGTATCAGTGGGAGGAATAGTGCCCCATCATTGGTATCAGTGGGAGGAATAGTGCCCCATCATTAGTATCAGTGGGGGGAATAGGTGCCCCATCATTGGTATCAGTGGCAGGAATAGTGCCCCATCATTGGTATCAGTGGGAGGAATAGTGCCCCATCATCGGTGTGTCAGTGGGAGGAATAGTGCCCCATCATTGGTATCAGTGGGAGGAATAGTGCCCCATCATTAGTATCAGTGGGGGGAATAGTGCCCCATCATTGGTGTCAGTGGGAGGAATAGTGTCCCATCATTGGTGTCAGTGGGGGGAATAGTGCCCCATCATTGGTGTCAGTGGGGGGAATAGTGCCCCATCATTGGTGTCAGTGGGAGGAATGGTGTCCCATCATTGGTGTCAGTGGGGGTGGAATAGTGCCCCATCATTGGTGTCAGTGGGGGGTGGAATAGTGCCCCATCATTGGTGTCAGTGGGGGGGGGGGGAATAGTGCCCCATTGTTGGTGTCAGTGGGGGGAGGAATAGTCCCCCATCATTGGTGTAAGTGGGAGGAATAGTGCTCCATCATTGGTATCAGTGGGGAGGAATAGTGCCCCATCATTGGTGTCAGTGGGGAGGAATAGTGCCCCATCATTGGTGTCAGTGGGGAGGAATAGTGCCCCATCATTGGTATCAGTGGGAGGAATAGTGCCCCATCATTGGTGTCAGTGGGAGGAATAGTGCCCCATCATTGGTATCAATGATGGAGCACTATTCCTCCCACTGACACCAATGACACTTGCTGACCCTGTTCTAGTATGGTGCTGCTGCAGCCAGCATATGTGGTTGCAGCAGCACCTCTACACGGCACACTTACCTGCTGCTCCTGCACTCGATTTTCATGGGGCTGCTCGGCTCCACCCCCTCGCCGGTGATTGGCCGCCTGTGTGCCTTTCCTGAGCTACAGTTCTGGCGGCCAATCACCAGGCGGTGAGGAGGCGGAGCCGAGCAGCCGCGCGAACATCCAGTGGCCGAACTGAAGGAGCAGCCGCGCTTCCTGGACCGGATTGTCGTGGGACCGGAGCCAGGTAAGAGACAGCAGCCCCTGCCCACCCCTGTACTTAGTGTCCCTTCCGTTGGAAGGGGGGGGGCGGCGGCGGGCACCACGCCGCCCCCCTAAAAAGTGTCAGTATGCCGTATACCGGCGTATAAGACGACCCCCGACTTTTTTGAGAAGATTTTCAAGGGTCAAAAAGTCGTCTTATATGCCGGCAAATACGGTATATTTGCAAATGCATTCCAAAAATGTAGATTTTTATTTTTAAAGATCTATTTTAAAAAAAAAAAAATGTCATATATTTTGTAATAAAAACACATTTCAACATGCAGTATAAATATATATATTGATAGAATATGGCCAAATTGTAGTATTTTTCATATATTTTGTAATAAAAAACAAATTTCAACATGCACTGTGTATATATATATATATTTATTGAAATATATTTTGAAATATATTGAATACGGCCAAAATTGTAGCATTTCAAATATATGTCAATATATTTGGGAAGAATATTTTTAAAATGTATTTCAAATATATTTTTCTTCCATATGGGTGTGTGATTTGGGGGTATATGTGCTGGGAGGGGAAATTTGGGGGTGGTACAGGGTAACAATTGTTCTATGAGGGATCATTTTGGGGGGGCGGGTGCTAGGGGTGGTGATTTGGGGGGTATGTGTTGTGAGGGGAAATTTGGGGGGCAGCAAGGGGTAACAATTGTTCTATGAGGGATAATTTTGGGGGGTGGTGATTTGGGGGGATATCTGCCAGGAGGGGAAATTTGGGGGTGGTAAGGGGGTAAGAATTGTTCTATGAGGGATCATTTTGGGGGGTCATAGGGGTGGTGATTTAGGGGGATATGTGCTGGGAGGGAACATTTGGAGGGCGGCAAGTGGTAACAATTGTTCTATGAGGGATAATTTGGGGGGAGGTGCAAGGAATGGTGATTTGGGGGGATTCGTGTTGGGAGGGGAAATTTGGGGGGTGGCAAAGGGGTAACAATTTTTCTATGAGGGATCATTTTGGGGGTCATAGGGGTGGTGATTTGGGGGTATAAGTGCTGGGAGGGAAAATTTGGAGGGTGGCAAGGGGTAACAATTTCTCTATGAGTGATCATTTTTGGGGGGGGTCATAGGGGTGGTGATTTGGGGGGATATGTGCTGGGAGGGAAAATTTGGGGGTGGTAAGTGGTAACAATTGTTCTATGAGGTATAATTTGGGGGTGAGGTGCTAGGGAGTGGTGATTTTGGGGGATATGTGCTGGGAGGGGAATTTGGGGGACAGTAAGGGGTAAGAATTGTTCTATGAGGGATAATTTTGGGGGTGGGGAGGAGCTAGGTGTGGTGGGTTTTACCAGCCACAGTGAGTATGATCAAATATTTGGCTCTTGAGACAGTGCTGCTCATTTGTTTTCCTTGCTGGAGAGGAAGCTGTATCTGAGGAGCTGCAGTGCAAGGACCTCCCTGCTTCAGCTTCATTATTTCTGTGGATATGTGCTTCCTCCACCTCTCCTGCTGCTTCTTCATCATCGGACTTCTGGTCATCTCGTGGGAAGGGGCAGCTCTGACATGAGGAAGCAAAGCCCTGCCCCCATCTCTACACAGAGAAACAGTGCAAAGCTAGGCATGGTTATTCGGTAATGGGAACAAAACAGCTGCAGTACAGACAGCATATATTTCGGTGGTTTTGTTTCAGCACAAGTACAGTTGATGGTTTATGATCTGTTTATACTGTATGTTTCTAGCACATCAGCCTCTTCCTGTTTTCCAGGTGAGCACTTACGGGATTACCCCATTTATCCCAATGACTCCATAACATACATCTGGCAGGTGACCACGCACGACAGCCCGGCTTCATCCGACGCACGATGCCTTACTCGATTCTACGCCAGCTTCCTCAATTTACAGAAAGATTTAGCGTCCGGCCTCATTGGGCCTCTTCTGATCTGCTCCAAACAGACTTTGGATCGAGGAGGAAATCAGGTAAATATGTATTTCATACCCTTCCTTTGTATCCAACATCTGTTATTGGCATGTATACTAGGCCTCCGGAAATAGGTGGACACCATCTCACCTATGCGAGCTCATTGGATATCCCATTCCAAAACCACGGGCGGCAGTATGGAGTTGACTAACATTTGCCGCTACAACATCCTCCACTGTTCTCAGAAGGGTTTCCACAAGGGTTTCGGAGTCTGTCGATGGGAATTTGTGCCCATTCAGCCCAAAGAGCATTTGTGAGGTCTGGTACTGATGTTGAAATGGAAAACGGAAACCCATCAAACTGTTGCGTTGAGGGTGGATTGTCTAAAAATGATTTGCAGTTCTGTGCAGAGTTGGTAAGGTTGAGTAAAGACACCAGTCCAACCAGTCCTACCTGTTCAACCAGTCCTACCTGTCCTACCAGTCCTACCTGTCCTACCAGTCCTACCTGTCCAACCAGTCCTACCTGTCCAACCAGTCCTACTGTCCAACCAGTCCTACTTGTCCAACCAGTCCTACCTGTCCAACCAGTCCTACCTGTCCTACCTGTCCAACCAGTCATACCTTTCCTACCAGTCCAACCAGTCCTACCTGTCCTACCAGTCCTACCTGTCCAACCAGTCCTACCAGTCCTACCAGTCCTACCAGTCCTACCTGTCCTACCAGTCCTACCTGTCCTACCTGTCCTACCTGTCCTACCAGTCCTGCCTGTCCTACCAGTCCAACCAGTCCAACCTGTCCAACCAGTCCAACCACAGAGTTGAGCCATATCTCTGTATGTTGTGTTTGATCAACAGGACCAGTACCAGGATGAGGTCATCCACTGCCTAGGACAAAGATCCAGAATTGCACCCCCTCCTTTACTGTTAATTCATGCCTTAGATTGGGTGTACCACCCTGCATCTATTCTTGGCCCCCTTGCTGGTCTGTGCCCGGGGCTGCTGTCCCTCGTGCTCACTCCTTGTCCCAGCCCTAAAAAGGTCCCTTCACTGGAAACACCAGATCTTATCCAAGCTAGCCATTCCGTCCATCAATTTTACTATCAATTTTTCAAAAAATCACAGGCTTCTTAATCGTGTTCTTCACTTCATGCAAATTCAGGACTTGAGATCTCCATACCTTAGCAATGGTTAGTAGCTGTGAATATGAATACCAAAAGTTTAAACCAATGAGAAGAGTTAAGTAGTTCTTCTCGAGGGTCCGGATTGAGCGGGTGGCCTAAAACAATGGCTATTCGTCGATAAATTTTAGTCTACCCTGAAGGGACCACCAGACACCTCCACCAAATCTGCATAGAGGAAACCGAGCCCGGACAGCCGCAGAAGCGCGTTGAGGGATACCCAACTCTTGACGGAACTAGGCACCACCTTGAGAGAGGGGCTTGACTTTCTTCTCTAATGCAAGAACATGACTGGTGTAGAAGAGATGTGTTGGCTAAAGCACTAAAGCATACTAACCCAACTTTTTCTCGAAAACAAATTGCCCCCCCAAACACTCCCTCTACCAATAAAGGAGACCACACACCGTTGGAGTAAAAAAATGGCCTTCACATTACTTAAAACAGAAACATACATAAACCTGAAAGATGAGTTGTTGGTCTAGGAAGGCACCAAAAACAATATTGATCTCCCCCGCGGAACCTTAACCTCAATGTTCCTACTAGGCCTCCAGCTGCAACGCACCGACCCGGAGACAAGGACACACCTTCCGCAGGTAGACCTCCACCTTCCAGTTAAACCTCGGTTAACTGGAATGCACCCGGGCACACCGTACCACAGATGGGTCCCAACCATACACTTTTTCTTAAAGCAATTTGCCGCCTCCCAAGACCAACAACTGCCCCCAAAACTAAACCAATCAAGCACGAAACCCCCCCCCCAAAAAAACACCCCAGAAGAGAGCGAGTGGGAAGTTGCCAATGTTGTACCCAAGTCAGTTTCCACCATAAACTCATTTTCTTGAGTTGCTTTGACATGTTACATCCTTAACTAGTTGCCGCCTGGCCTATAGCCAGATGGTGGCCGGGCGAACAGCTCATCTCTCTGGGTGGACACCATATGGTGTCCTTTCAGGCATGCGCACTGCGCTGCGGTGCAATCTGTCACCGGCCGTGTACCTCGGACACGGCCGATGACAGATCTGTGTATCGGCCCCAATGCCAGTACCATGTAACCTGCTGTGACCAATCACAGCAGGTCACATGAAGGTTGTATACAATGGATGGCTTCCTTTCATGCAATCCATTGTATACAAGTGTGTCTAACTGTGAATGGTCACAGCGATCACATGCACAAGCTGGGCCAATCACAGCCCAGCTGTGTCTCTTGAAAAATTACTTTAAGAATACATTTCAAATACTCTGTATGTGTTTAAAAATACAAATCTACATTTTTGGAATGCATTTACAAACATATGTAAAAAAATATATGCTAAAATGACTTTTTTATATGTTAAAAAAAAATCTGAAGAATATATTTTAAAAAGATATATTTTTAAAAATATATGTTTTTTAAAAATATGTTCTTCAGATTTTTTTTTTAACATATAAAAAAAAGTCATCTTAACATATATTTTTACATATATTTGTAAATGCATTCCATTTCCGATGCAAACAAAATCTAAAGACTAGACTTTTAAAAAAATTATATTTTTAAAAATATATTTTTTAAAAATATATTCTTCAGATTTTTTTTAACATATAAAAAAGTCTTCCTAACATATTTTTTTACATATATTTCTAAATGCATTCCAAAAATGTAGATTTCAATTTTTAAACACATACAGTATATTTGAAATGTATTCTTAAAAATATTTTTCATATATTTTGTAATAAAAATGCATTTCAACATGCAGTGTGTATATATATATATACAGTAGAATATGGGCAAAATGGTAGCATTTCAAATATATGGCAATATTTTAAAAATATATTTCAATTATATTTTTCTTCCATGTGGGTATGATCCCTCAAAGAAAAGTTGTTGCCCCTTGCCGCCCCCCAAATTTCCCCTCCCTGCACATATCCCCCCAAATCACACACCCTATGACCCCACAAAATGATCCCTCCTAGAACAATTGTTACCCCTTGATGCCCCCAAATTTCCCCTTCCAGCACATATCCTCCCAAATCACCACCCCTAGCACTCGCCCCCCCCCCCCCCCAAATGATCCTCATAGAACAATTCTTACACCTTACCACCCTCAAATATCCCCTCCCAGCACATATCCCCCCCAATTCACCACCCATATACCTCCCAAAATGAACCCTCATAGAACAATTGTTACCATTTTGTAATTGTAACAATTTTCATTCCAAAAATATAGATTTGTATTTTTAAAGACATACAGTATATTTGAAATGTATTTTTAAAAATATATATAATTTTTTTTTTTTTAAATATATTGAATATGGCAGTATAATTGAAATGTATTTTGAAAATATATTTCATATATATGGTAGTAAAAATGCATTTCAACATGCTATATATATATATATATATATATATATACAGAGAGAGAGAGAGAGAGAGAATATGGCAGTATATTTGAAATGTATATTTGAAATATAATTTTTATATATATATATATAATATATAGAGAGAGAGAGAGAGAGAGAGAATGAATATGGCAGTATATTTGTATTGTATACATGTATTGTATATATTTTGTATATACAATATATATGTGTATATATACATACATATTGTAATGAAAATGCATTTCAATGTGCAAATATATATATATATATATATATATATATATATATATATGTATATAGAATATGGCAGTATATTTGAAATGTATTTTAAAAATATTTTTCATATATATTGTAGTAAAAATATATTTCAGCATGCAATATATATATATATATATATATATATATATATATATATTGAGATATATATATATATATATATAGAGAGAGAGAGAGAGAGAGAGAGAGAGAGATAGAGAGAGAGAGAGAGAGAGAATATGGCAGTATATTGTAATTGCATTCCAAAAATGTAGATTAAATGTATTTTTAAAGACATACAGTATATTTCAACTGTATTTAAAAAAGATTTTTCATATACGGTGTATTGTAATAAAAATGCATTTCAACATGCAATATATAAATATAATATATATATATATATATATATATAATATGGCAGTATATTTGAAATGTATTTTAAAAATATTTTTCGTATATATTGTAATAAAAATGCATTTCAACATGCAATATATATATATATTGAGTATGGCCAAAATTGTAGCATTTCAAATGTCTGGCAATATATTTGGGAAGGATATTTCAAATATATTTTTCTTCCATATGCGTGGCTGAACCAGAGTTTTGTAAAGTGGTAGAATTACAGTTTTATCTGACACACTATACCCTTGTTAATGGCTATTAAATGCTGTTTGTAGATAGTTACAGATAAGGAAAATATCCTCTTCTTCTGTATCTTCAATGAAACTCTCAGCTGGTACCATGAAGAAAATAGTCAAAAGTCTGCTGAAACCGTAACAGAAGGCCAAAGCGCCATAGGGGATTCTCCAGGATTGAACCTGATTTACAGTATGTATTCAGCTAATGTATCTCTCTCTTATTCTGATACACTTTAGAATGTAAATTGACAAATTCTCACTTGGGGTCTATTTATACTATTATGTCACGTGCATTGGGACCATACGGTGCCATTCACCATGAATGGCAACCCAACACACCTTACTGACTGATGTGTTCTGTGTTGCGCTGCCAAAAAAAAAAGGAGGTAACACTCTCCTACTTAGGCTGCTAGGATGGTTAGGGAAATTTAGTTTTTTGGAGGGTTTTCGGTAATTATTGGAGCAGTTGTTGATTTCTTTTGGCTGTTCTTGGTTTCACAGCTTGCAGGTTTGATTGCTCTCCCATGCCTTCCAGAATGTTCTGGAACATAGGTGTGGAGCAAGGCAAATGGGCAGCATAAATATTTATGGTGCCGCAGCCTATCCTTGGGGTGGTGTGCCCAGAAGGTGTCTTGGAAGTGCATAAATAGTCTGAGCGGTAGAACAGCAGTGTCTTCCTGTTCAAGGGATTCCACCTGTTCAGGTGGTAGGTGGCTACCTCCCTACCTCCAACCGTTCTGCTGTTTCAAGTTGATGTTCATCGTGGTCCTAGCTGTGGCAGAGCCAGAAGACCTACATCTGAGAGGGTATCAGACACCCTGAGACTTCACCTAAGTGTCTAGTCTGCAAAGTTTCACTGGAAGGCACCAGGTGGAAGCTGAATGGGCCCAGCTGCTCCCCTGGCCCCCAGGACTATTGGGATCGTTGGGCCTCGTAGTTCCTCTCCTGAGAGGTACATACAGTATCTCCCAGAAGTGAGTCCACCCCTCACATTTGTGTAAATATTTGATTCTATCTTTTCATGTGACAACCCTGAAGAAATGACACTTTGTTACAATGTGACGTAGTCAGTGTACAGCTTGTATAACATGTAAATTTGCTGTCCCCTCAAAATAACTCAACACACCACCATTAATGTCTAAATCACTGGCAACAAAAGTGAGTCCACCCCTAAGTGACAAGGTCCAAATTGGGCCCAATGAGCCATTTTCCCTCCCCAGGGTCATGTGATTTGTTGGTGTTACAAGGTCTCAGGTGTGAATGGGGAGCGGGTGGGTTACATTTGGTGTTATTGCTATCACACTCTCTCATACTGGTCACTGGAAGCTCAACATGGCACCTCATGGCAAAGAACTCTCTGAGGATCTGAAATAAAATTGTTGCTCTACATAAAGATGGCCTAGGCTATAAGAAGATTGCCAAGACCCTGAAGCTGAGCTGCAGCATGGTGGCCAAGACCATACAGCGCTTTATCAGGACAGGTTCCACTCAGAACAGGCCTCACCATGGTCAGCCAGAGAAGTTGAGTGCACGTGCTCAGCGTCATATCCAGAGGTTGTCTTTGGGAAATAGACGTATGAGTGCTGTCAGCATTGCTGCAGAGGGTGAAGGGGTCAGGGGTCAGCCTGGCAGTGCTCAGACCATACGCCACACACTGCATCAAATTGGTCTGCATGGCTGTCGTCCCAGAAGGAAGCCTCTTCTAAAGATGATGCACAAGAAAGCCCGCAAACAGTTCGCTGAAGACAAGCAGACTAAGGACATGGATTACTGGAACCGTCTCCTGTGGTCTGATGACACCAAGATCACCTGATTGGGTTCAGATGGTGTCAAGCGTGTGTGGCGGCAACCAGGTAAGAAGTACAAAGACAAGTGTGTCTTGCCTACAATCAAGCATGGTGGTGGGAGTGTCATGGTCTGGGGCTGCATGAGTGCTGTCAACACTGGGGAGCTACAGTTCATTGAGGGAACCATGAATGCCAACATGTACTGTGACATACTGAAGCAGAGCATGATCCCCTCCCTTCGGAGACTGGGCCACAGGGCAGTATTCCAACATGAGAACAACCCCAAACACACCTCCAGGACCACCACTGCCTTCCTAAAGAAGCTGAGGTTAAAGGTGATGGACTGGCCAAGCATGTCTCCAGACCTGAACCCTATTGAGCATCTGTGGGGCATCCTCAAACGGATGGAGGAGTGCAAGGTCTCTAACATACCAATCAGTCCCCTCTAGTTTAGTGGAAAGACTTTACACTAAATTGAGCAGAGTAGTTGCACCCTGAGACTTCACCTAAGGGTAAAGTCTGCAAAGTTTCACTGGAAGGCACCAGGTGGAAGCTGAATGGGCCCAGCTGCTCCCCTGGTCCCCAGGACTATTGGGATCGGCCTCGTAGTTTCTCTCCTGAGAGGTACATACCAATCAGTCCCCTCTAGTTTAGTGGAAAGACTACATTAAGTTGAGCAGAGTAGTTGCACTCCTGAGAGGTTCATACTATAATGTCTTCTAGTTTCTGGTGGGAAGACCATCCTCTAAACCTGGGTCAAATCGTTCCCCTCTTGAGGAGCACATACTGTACCTCTGGCCTCTACTAGTCTTTCACAGGAAGATTGTGTTCTAAAATGAGCAGAAGAACCGTTCTTAAAGTCTAGAGAAGTGTGTCCTCATGTTTCTGTTGGCCCTTCTGGAGTCTCCCATGCTCCCTACACCCCATCCAAGTTATCTAAAATCACGAAAAGACGTCCCGTAGACTGCTGTTTGTGCTCTGTGTGTGCTGGCAGCCTCTGCTCTAGCGAGAGACAACTCTCGTCATCATCATCATCTGAGCTGGGAGTGTACTGTGCCTCTGACCCTCAACAGCCAGCGGTCCCTTCGGGGGTACTGCTACAAGTAAATGCACCATGTTTGGTGTGTTTCAGAGCTTTGGCAGTCTATTTGTTTTGGACGCGTCACTGTGAATTGGCCTGATTTATTATTTCGTAGAAAACGAATAAAAAATTTGCAAGCCATCACCAAAAGAAAAGTCTTGTTTGCCACCCCAAAATTGGATATGTATTACTTTGTTATCCTAAGTAATGACAAAGTTATCACCAAATAGGCCAATAGCAAAAATGCTGTGGTCCATAAAAGGGTGTACAGGTGCGGGGGCTGAAATAGTTAAAGTGTCTAAATAATAATTTTTGTAAGTTTAGATGAATTTGAATTCTACTAATTTTCTTTCTTTTTTTGTCTGTATCATGTTGGAGAGTTTTTTCCCTTTTACAGGAAGTAAAAGGATTTTCTCTTTTTTGGACCATTTTCCAAAGTGTTTCCCATCAGAAGAAGATTTCCCTTTTTACCTCCTTGTATGGTAACTCTAAAATTTTGGACTTCTCATCACTATCGATGAGCTAAGGCAGGGGTGTGAAACTCCATTTCATCGTGGGCCCTATCAACATTATGGTTGCCCTCAAAGGGCCGGTTGTATCTGTAAGACTAGATGTTCAGAGCACCCCCCCCCAGCTCCCATTACATCAGATGTCAAGAATCCCACACCCTCCCTAACATCACCAGGGGCGGACTGACCATTTGGAAACTCAGGCACTGCCCGAGGGCCCAGGGTCAGTAGGGGGCCCCATGAGATGCCCCTGGTACCTTTTTCACTGGCTGTTTTGAGTTTGGGCAAGAACAGAGGGGCCCCATGATCCCCTATTGCCGGGGGCCCCATGAGTTGTCAGTCCTCCCCTGAAAATCACTGTACACCCCTTTGGGGGCAGAGCTGGAAAGCAGAAAGTGCAGGTCTGGAGGAGGACCGGAGTCAGTTACCGGAGTCTGTTGAATGCTGAGACCAGGGGAGGCAGAGATGAGGGGGTGCTGCAGCTGCACGAAGAGGTGCAGGACTTGGCACATGAGTTCTATTCTCCTCTCTGGTGCCAACTGTTGAGATAAGGTGGGGGTGAAGACAAGGTGTCTGCAGGAGAGGTGCGAGGGCCACATGAAATGGCCTGGAGGTCCGGATTCAGCCCACGGACCTTGTGTTTGACAACTGTGAGCTAAGGTTAGGACTGAACCAATGGAAAACAGAGCACCAGCCCACGGTGATTTCTCCAACCTGCAGTCTCACATAACAAAGGGGTGGGGATGGTGATGACATCATTGACCTTAAATGGCCACATTGCCATATTAGGTCTATGATGTCACCAGCACCCCCACCCATGGTCAGCAGCCTGCTATCGTGACAATTTTCCACTGATTTGGTCACTGATCACTTTCGGTCACTTTTTGTGCCAGAGACAATAGTCATCAGAGGGTGAATCTCCCCAGAGAGGACAGGCAGCAACAAAAACTTGACACCTTGATACCTACCATCTATTAACCATCTAAAAAATATTCTCTTTGCAGCTATAAATGGGATCTTGGATTCTCTGCAATCCAGTATTTGCCAGAATGAGGTCAGCGTGTGGCATGTGTTAAATCTGGGTCTGGGCACAAAACTGATCTCCATTTACTTTGGAGGCAACACGTTCATGGTGGACTCAAGCTACCAAGAAACACTGACTCTGATCCCGATGAATGGAAAGACGGTCGTCATGGTCATGGAAAAAACAGGTCTGGTTTGGCAGGTTTTTTATTACCTTTCCTGATAGTAATGTTCGATAAGAGTTTCAAGGCAGCCTTTTGACACCTTCATAATTATTGCAATCTAGACACAGACAAAGACTTGCCACTGTGTTTGGTGGACCCATTGGGTGTTATTTACTAAGGCTGGAGAGTGCAAAATCTGGTGCAACTCTGTATAGAAACCAGTCATCTTCCAGGGATTATTGCCAAAGCTTAACCCCTCGCCTACAGGGCACTTCTACCCCCTTCCTGCCTACAGGGCACTTCTACCCCCTTCCTGCCTACAGGGCACTTCTACCCCCTTCCTGCCTACAGGGCACTTCTACCCCCCTTCCTGCCTACAGGGCACTGCCTACCCCTTCCTGCCTACCGGGCACTTCTACCCCCTTCCTGCCTACAGGGCACTTCTACCTCCCCCTTCCCAGGCCAACCCCCTTTTCCAGCTCTCAGCGCTGTCACACTTTGAATGACAATTGTGCGGTCATGCAACATTGTACCCATCTGAAAAATTTTTATCATTTTTTTGAGACAGATAGAGCTTTCTTTTGGAGGTATTTAATCACCTCGGGGATTTTTATTTTTTCTTCAACAAACCAAAAACCACTGAAAGTTTTGAAAAAAAAAAAAGTTTTCTTAGTTTTTGTTATACAATTTTTGTAAATAAGTGATTTTTTTCTCCTTCACTGATGTGCGCTAATGAGGCTGCAGTGATGGGCACTGATAGGCTGCACTGATGGACACTGATAGGTGGCACTGATGGGCACTGATGAGGAGGCACTGGTAGGTTGCACTGATAGGCATTGACAGGCATCACTGATGGGCACTGAAAGGCAGCACTGATACATGACACTGATATACGGCACTGACTGGCACTGATAGGCGGCACTGACTGGCACTGTTAGGTGGCACTGACTGGCACTGATAGGCGGCACTGACTGGCACTGATAGGTGGCACTGACTGGCACTGATTGGCAGCACTGATAGGTGGCACTAATTGGCATTGATAGGTGGCACTGACTGGCACTAATGGGTGACATTGAAAGGCAGCTCAGATGGGCACTGATATGTGGCATTGATGTGCACTGGTATGCACTGATATGTGGCATTGATGTGGCACTGATGGGCACTGGCACATGGCACTGATGGGCACTGGCAATGATGAGCACTGACAGGTGGCACTTCTGGGGCCACACTGATCATCAGGGCACACTGATCATCAGTGCCCTGATGATCAGTGTAGATGTCCCCTCTGCGGAAAGCCGATTACCGACTCTCCTCTCCTCTGTCAGCGTGACAGCTCGAGAGGAGAGAAATGCCGATAACCGGCATTTCCGTGTTTACATGTGATCAGCGGTGATTGGACACAGCTGATCATATGACCGAGCCGACATCTTCGGCTCTTTCCGTGATCCGCTGTGTCCGAGGGACACAGTGGACTGGCAAACGCTGCGCTGCGCGCTCCCTGAGCCGCGCATGCGCAGTGAGAATGATAGGACGTCATATGACGTCCTATCAGAACGAGAGAGAACCACCTTGCGCCTGTCATTGTACTATAGGGTGGGCGGAAGGTGGTTAATTGAACAAGGTGACGTTAGAAGCTGATTGGCTCCCATGCACAGCTGCACCGGTTTTAGTAAATGTCCCTCACTGCGTCGTCACCAGGGTCAATGGCTAACTAACAGGCACGAGGTGTAAGTCCTCAGGTGGACGGGCAGAGCAAACAGCAATAAGTAGCAGCTTTTGCAAGCTGATCATCAGCCTCGGCGCATCCATATTGTAGACATATAGCAAGAGCACACATTGGCAATATGACCATAGCAGACACAACAGGCTGAAAATCAAGATAAGCACTAAGAAGCTGAGTACAAACTTGGTTACAACTATCTACTTGACTAATCCAGAGTACGGACAGACAGAAGCCAGAATGACCTGGATCCATTATACATAGACAGACTAGCCAGTTGATCATGCATGGGCTGAACGCTCAGCAGTCTACTTAAGCTTTCTTGTCTAGGGCAGGTGTGCACTGCAGATACCCGAGCTGCAGTGTTGTAAGCAATGACTACCGGATGGCAAAGGCTCAAGCCTTTGCATTTTTAATAAATAAATATAGTTTTACTTAAAAAAAAAAAAAAAACTAATATAAGTACCAAAGTTGGACTTGGTATCCATCCCTTGAAGTCCTTTAAACAACAGCATTCAGGTTAGGAGAGAGAGAGGCAGGACCGAGAGCCAATCAGAGCACTGCATACAAATGTGCTGGCAAGGGACTTAGTGATAGGAGAGAGCAGAGTGAACAGAAGGATCCCCTTATCAGTCAGCTGCTGCTCCCACTGTCCAGTCAGCAGGCTGAGAGTGGAGAGCAGATACCACTATATTTTTTTAACTGTAAATGGTCTCAGCCACATAGATGTGGCGGGGTTGTGTAGATCTCAGGTCTGAATGGGCAAAATCACAAAAATTGTAGCAGATAAAACAATATTTATGGTTTTTGGTCCTACCCCAAATTCTTGGGGGAGGATGTATGGCCCTTAGGTTCCTTTCTGCCCTGCCTTGGGGTGGGGGGAGGAGGGTCTCTCTTCAGGAAAGGAGTCTGGTGCTATGGGCCCATAGCACCAGACTCCTCTTTTCAAGAAAGCCCCTCATCTAGAACTTATTGGTCATCTTCAGCTGATCATAAGTAGTGGTGGTCACCAGGTCTTTTGGCTGCATGGGCCTGAGTATGTCTTGCCCCCATCAGGAGTCTTTTCCCCAAGGGGTTCAGGGAGTTCCCTTGTATGTTTTTTTATCTACAGTTGCAAGAAAAAGTATGTGAACCCCTTGGGATTACGTGGAGTTTTGCATGAATTGGGCATAAAATGTGCTCTGAACGTCATCTAAGTCACAACAATAGAAGAACACAGTCTGCTGAACATAATACTACACAAACATTAGATGTTGCCCTGGTTTAATTGCACATAACATGTAAACATTCACAGTGCAGGGAGGAAAAAGTATGTGAGGCCCTAGCTTAATAACTTCTCCCAGAGCTAATTGGAGCCAGGAGTGAGCCAACCTTGACTCCAATCAGTGTGATGATATTGGATGGTGTTGCTGACAGCTGTCCTGCCCTTAAAAAAACACACACCTGTTTTGGGTTTACTGGTTTCAAGAAGCACTGTCTGATGTGAACCATGCCTCGCAGAAAAGAGCTCTCAGAAGACCTACGATCAAGAATTGTTGACTTGCATGAAGCTGGAAAGGGTTACAAAAGTATCTCCAAAAGCCTTGATGTTCATGTGTCCACGGTAAGACAGACTGTCTACAAATGGAGAAAGTTTAGCACTGTTGCTACTCTCCCTAGGCGTGGTCGTCCTGTAAAAAATGACTGCAAGAGCACAGCGCAGAATGCTGCATGAGGTAAAGAAGAATCCCAGAGTTGTAAAAAAGACAAAACCTCAGCGCCCAGGACTCTCCTATTAAACACACAATTCCCCGTGAGATGCTGCTGTACACAGGTGCAAAAACCAAAAAAAAACTTATATCAATAAAAACCAGCGCAAACCCACATAATCAATTGCATTACTCAACTTATTAAACAAACTTAAAAACTGTGACAAAAAAAAACACTTTTTGTGTTAGTAAAAATTTAAATTATAAAAAATATATAAAAATAAATATATAAATATAAAAAATTAAAATTCATAAGTCCAGTGACAAAAAAAATCCCAAAAACTTAAGTAGACAGTCCCGTGACAAAATAAATCAAATAATAATTAAATTATAATTTTCATTGGATTCTTCCGTGCCTTTGATCCCTTCACCATCCCACTAGTGCAAAAACCAACATTAACCGCACTCACCAGATATTAGTGAGTCACACGCCTTTCAGGAATATTAAGGGCTCCTGGACCCCCTTTACTTTTTATGAGACCTCCAAATGCTGCTTCCTCTTATGTCTGGGTGCCTCTTCTGCTTACTCCTCTCACCGAATCCCCCAAGGAAAATCAGGAAGAAGAAAAGACCATAGCGTGATACCGTAGTGGTTTCTCCTCAAAATAATCTCTCCAGACCACTCACATTTTAGCGGGATATAACCCGCATTTTATTAGAAACAACAATGATTTTCTTTCAAAATGATCATTTTGAAAGAAAATCATTGTTTCTAATAAAAATGCGGGTTATATCCCGCTAAAATGTGAGTGGTCTGGAGAGATTATTTTGAGGAGAAACCACTACGGTATCACGCTATGGTCTTTTCTTCTTCCTGATTTTCCTTGGGGGATTCGGTGAGAGGAGTAAGCAGAAGAGGCACCCAGACATAAGAGGAAGCAGCATTTGGAGGTCTCATAAAAAGTAAAGGGGGTCCAGGAGCCCTTAATATTCCTGAAAGGCGTGTGACTCACTAATATCTGGTGAGTGCGGTTAATGTTGGTTTTTGCACTGGTGGATGGTGAAGGGATCAAAGGCACGGAAGAATCCAATGAAAATTATAATTTAATTATTATTTGATTTATTTTGTCACGGGACTGTCTACTTAAGTTTTTGGGATTTTTTTGTCACTGGACTTATGAATTTAAATTTTTTATATTTATATATTTATTTTTATATATTTTATATAATTTAAATTTTTACTAACACAAAAGTGTTTTTTTTTGTCACAGTTTTTAAGTTTGTTTAATAAGTTGAGTAAAGAATCCCAGAGTGTCAGCTAAAGACCTACAGAAATCTCTGGCACATGCTAACATTTTTGTTGACACATCTACAATAAGGAAAACATTCAACAAGAATGGAGTACATGGGAGGACACCACGGAGGAAGCCATTGCTGTCCAAAAAGAATATTGCAGCACGTTTGAAGTTTGCAAAAGAGCACATGGATGTTCCACAGCACTACTGGCACAATATACTGCAGACAGATGAAACCAAGATTGAGTTGTTTGGGAAGAACACACAACACTATGTGTGGAGAAAAAAAGGCACAGCACACCAACATCAAAACCTCATCCCCA